GTTAAATTTATTCCTAGGTATTTTATTTTATTTTTTGGTAGCTATTGTAAATGGAATTGTTTTGTTGATTTATTTTTAGCTAGTTCATTATTGGTATATAGAAATGCTACCAATTTTTGTATGTTGGTTTTATATCCTACAACTTTACTGAGTTTGTTTATTAGTTTTAAGAGACTTTTGGTGGTTTGTTTAGGTTTTTCTGTATAGGATCATGTTTGCAAACAGGGACAACTTGACTTCCTCTTTTCCAATTTGAATACAACCCCCACTTTTTTTTTCTCCTGCCTAATTGCTCTGGCTAGGACTTCCAATACCATACTGAAGAAGAGTAGTGAAAGTAGACATCCTTCTTTTGTTCCTGTTCTTTGAGGAAAAGCTCTCAAATTTTCACCATTCAGTATGATGTTAGCTGTGGATTTATCATATATAGCCTTTATTGTATTGACATATTTTTCTTATATACCAAATTTGTTGAGAGGTTTTATTGTAAAGGGATGTTGAATTTTATTAAATGTTTTTTCCTGCATCTATTGAGATGGTTGGTCTATATGGTTTTTGTCCTTCATTTTGTTGATGTGATGTACCACACTTTTTGATTTGAATGTGTTGGAACATCCTTGCATTCCTGATATAAATCCCACTTGATTATGGTATATCATCTTTTTGATGTGCTGTTGACTTTGGTATGCTAATATTTTGTTGAGGATTTTTGTATCTATGTTCATCAGGGATATTGGCCTGTAGTTTTTTTGTAGTTATTGTTATGTCCTTACCTCATTTGGGTTTGGGGGTAAGAAAGAGTTTGGAGGAATTTACTCCTTTGATTTTTTGGAATAGTTTGACAAAAATTGGTGTTACTCCTTCTTTAAAAATTGGTAGAATTCAGCTGTAAAGCTATCTGACCCCTGGGTTTTTCTTTACTGGAAGACTTTAATACCAATTCCATCTGGCTACTTGTTATTGGTCTGTTTGGGTTTTCTATCCAGGAATTTATCCATTTCCTCTGTTTTCCAGTTTGATGGCATAATTTCATTCAGAATAGTTTCTGATGATCCTTTGTATTTCTGTGACAGCAGTTGTAATGTCTTATTTTTTGCTTCTGATTTTATTTATTTGAGTATTTTCTCCTTTTATCTTAGTGTAGCTAATGGTTTGTCAATTTTGTTTATCTTTACAAACAAACCAACATTTCATTTTATCTATCTTTTGTAGAAGTTTCTGACATCTCTATTTTGTTTAGTTCTGATCTATATTACTTATTTTCATCTACTAATTTTGGGATTAATTTGTTCTTGCTTTTCTAGTTCCTCAAGGTACAACATTAAATAAACAAATTTAAAATCTATCTACTTTTTTGAAGTAATAGTTATTGCTATAAACTTTTCTATTAGCACTGCTTTTGGAGTATCCCATAGGTTTTGGTATGCTGTGTTTCTATTGTCATTTGTTTTAATAAAATTTTCATTTCTTTCTTAATTTCATTATTGGACCATAGGTCATTTAGGACCATGTTGTTTGATTTCCATGTATTTGTACAGTTTCTAATGTTATACTTGTTGTTGATTTCTAGTTTTATTCCATTGTGATCTGAAAAGACACTTGAAATAATTTTGATTTTTTAAAACTTATTGAGACTTCATTTGTGGTCTAACATGTGGTCTATCCTGGAGAATGTTCTATGTGCTAATGAAAAGAATGTGTATCCTGCATCTGTTGAATGAAATGCTTTCTAGATGTCTGTTAAGTCCATTTGGCCTATCTATAGTGCAGTTTAAGTCCAATGTTTCCCACCATGAAGGAACTCACACACAACTCCAACACTGAATATGGCAGAAGTTCCCACACAGAGACTACACTACTGAAACTACCCAGAACCAATACTAGAACACCTTACTCAGCAGTCAATATAAAAACACCTACAGGAGAAAGTCTTTCTTTTCAAAGTCACACTCCAGAAACAACTGCTCTACCAGACGAGTAGACCTCAATGTAGCAAAACTAGAAATATGGAAAAACAAGGAAATATGACACCCTCAAAGGAATACAATAATTCTCAAGTACCAGACCCATTAGACCAGTAAACCCTTGAAATGTCTGAAAAGGAATTTCAAGTAACAATCTTAAAGAAACTCAGTGAGATACAAGACGACCCAGTTAGACAACACAATAAAATGAGAAAAACAATCCAGGACCTGATGGAGGAAATTTACAAAGAGAAAAATTAAAAATAATGTAGCAGAACTCCTGGAACTAACTCAATCAATGGAATAAAAGCTACAGTTTAGAGTGTAAGCAGCAGGCTAGTGCAAGCAGAAGAAATGATATTTAATCTTGAAGACAGTCTTTTTGAAATAAACCAAGCAGACCAAAAAAAAAAAAAAAAAAAAAAAAAAAAAAAAAAAAAGGAAAAAAAAAAAAAAAAAAAAA